GGCCCCTATCTGCCGGCCTGAGGGGGGAGTAGGAGTATATTCTAATAAGGAATAAGGATAGGAGTAGGAGTAGGAGGAGGAGGAGGAGGAGGAGGAGGAGGAGGAGGAGGAGGAGGAGGAGGAGCAGGAGGAGGAGGAGGAGGAGAAAGGGGAGGAGGAGGAGGAGGAGGAGGAGGAGGAGAAAGGGGAGGCGGAGGAGGAGGAGGAGGAGGACGACGACGAGGAGGAGGAACCCACCGTAGAGGGGGGCAGAATGCGTCAACCACCTAGGCCGACCCCCCAGCGGCGGGCGGCGAGGGGGCGGGCGGCGCGCCTGCCACCAGCACCAGGCCAGCAGGGCGGCCGCAATCTCTCGGCGTGCGAGGCGCGGGGGTGCAAGAAGACGGGCGGACGGGCGATGAATGCAGAGCGAGGAGGGGGGCAGGGGAGGTGCAGGCAGCAACAGGAGCAGAGCTCAGCGGAGCGAAGGACGGGGGGAGCGAGGGTGACGGCGACGGGACTTTTACAGCAAGGCACTCATACGGAGAGGAACCCGCTGGCGCAGAAGCCGTCGTCGATGGCGGCACCCTCTGAGAACCCAACGACGTCGACATCGGCGAGGGCGAGGAGGCAGGCGGGGAGGAAGTCGCCATTCGCGAAGTATACCAAGCCGAAGGGGACGGAGGAGTCGCCCTCAGAGTCCCCGCAGAGCGCGGAAGCGACCCAGGGGAGGAAACTGGATCACAGGGCGACCTCGGAGGCGTCGCACTCTGCGGAGTCGTCGCCGAGATCCAGCCCCGTCGGGAACGCCCAGCCACCCTGGACGCCGCAGGCTCTGAGACTCTCACCTCGCAACTTACTCGAGCCTGAGGCAATGGGCTCGAGGAGCACCCATGCTCAGGATTTTGCGTTCTAACACCACCGCGTCCAGGTCGAACAGGGTGGGGAGTACAATGCGCCAGCTGAGACAGTCCCTCGCAACTTACCCCAGAAGCCTGAAACAACGGGCTCGAGGAGCACCTGCCGTCAGGACTTAGCGTTCTAACACCATGCGCCGCGGGGCGAAGGTTGGGTGCCGTACCATGTGCTATCTGAGACGGGCCCTCGCAATATTCTCTTGATGCCTGCGCAGGTGGGCTCGAGGAGCACCCACCGCCAGGACTTAGCGATCTAACACCTGCCGCCGCCAGATGAGCTCAGTCGCCATCGTGCAGATCGTGAGAGGGGGCCACGCGTTCAGGGGTAGCCACCGCCGTAGTGGGACTGCCAGGGGGCACCGAAGGTGTGCACGGACACAGGTCGAACGACACCAAGTCATCATCTTCAGCCTCAAAATCACACGGCTCAGGGACCAAACGCGGCGTCAGACATGGGCTGTCATCCGCATCCATATGAAACTCGCGTATCTCAGCGTCAGGATCATGGTCAGCCAGGCCGTCAAAGCGCTCGTCACTGCTGGGTGAATCCGAATGCGAGAAAGCCGAGGTCGAAGAAGAGGAGGAGGAGGAGGAGGAGGAAGGCGAACCAGCGCGCCACTGACGTGCACGAAAACGCGTGTGCCAAAGCGGCGGCGCACCATCGGCCAGCGCAGTAGCGGCAGCCATCCACATGCTCCTGACCCCAGCCAGCGCAGCACTACAAGCATCTTGTTCCGAGATCGGCCAGTCTGGAATCAGGCGGACCGTGTTGCACATGCCCACAGCGGCAGCGAGGGGCCCATAGGCCGAAGTCGACGGCGTCGTGAGACCCACCTCTCCGCAGGTTCAAGCGGAAAGCCATGTGCAAGGGCACGGCGTAGCGCAGCATGCATGCGCACACAACGCGAGTAGTGGACGGGGGAGTCGGCGCAGTTGTGGCAGCCATATGCGCACCCGCGCTTCCCCGCGGGATGGAGAATGCGAGAAGAGGTCAGCCAGCCACCGCACCACGTCCCGTACACGCGTGCCAGGCGGGACCTCCGCTGCAGCGACCAGGGCGCTGCGGGCACACGGCAAGAGCTCGGCCCACGGCCCCGCAGGGGCGGGTCCACTCAGCGCCTGCGCTAAGTTCTCGACAATGGATGGGCTCCTCCAGAAGCCAGGGTAGAGCGCGCCAGCGCCGACCATGCACAGCGACCTGGAGTCGGCAAGCGCGTCAACATGTGCACGCATGCTGTCCAGTAGCTGTCGGTGTTCGGGATAGGTATGAGCGGCGGAGCGGATCAGCGTGGCCAGGTTGAGGTGGGCCCAGCGCTGCACCCGTGGCCCTTGCCATAGGTCAAGTTGCACCCATGCGTTCAGCGGGAAGGTGCCCAGGGCCACCCGATAGATTTGTGCCAACGCACCAAGCTCGCTGGCTAGCATCGCTCTCGGCATCCAAAAGGACTGGCTGACATACGAAAGTGTGGTGATAATACGTGTATTATAGATGATGGACGGGAGGCTGACAGGGGCGACGCCTCGTCCAACAGCTCGAGCCCGTAAACGAGCTGTGGAGAGCGGGTCGACCCAAGGCCTCATGAGGTCCACAGAGGGACCGAGCCACGAGAGAGCCTCTCACAAGCTTCCTGAGCAAGAGCAGGGCCAAAGGGGGCTGATAGTGGGACCACGTGGCCCTTCTGAATCTTCAAGACAAGGTTCGCAATCAACTCCGCGGACCTCATCGCAAGGGCGACCCAGGCCATGTCCTCAATGCTCATCAGTGCGCCGCCGGTGTCGTCAGCGCACGCTCGCACAAGCCCGCGACCTGCCTCCTCGATCACGCGGAGTTGGTGATACAGGAACGGGGGCGACGCGATAGCGTACAGGGAGCCAGACAACGCACAGCCCTGTAGGATCCCACTACGAACCCAGTACAGGTGGACACGGGGCCCCGTGGAGATCGTGATTCCATCGATGCCCACAAACACCAGAATCGCCCCAGGAAGCCGAAGCGCCCCCAAGATGTACAGCAAGAACTCCTGATTCAAAGAGGGGAAGGCCTGGCCGTAGTCCAAGCTATACAGAATCGGTAGGTCACGCGATCCACGTGGCGTGCAGGAGAGCTGGCGACTCGAGACGTCCAACTCGAGCACATGCAGGCCAAAGTTCCGACCAGGAACAAAGCCCCTCTGACAAGGAGGAGCCACCCGATCAAGGACAGGGCGAAGTGCTGCAATCACAATGGCCGAAAGGACCTTCACGTCGCAATTGCGGAGCCCGAACACCCTCACCTTGTCAGCCCCCCTTTCGACCTGGCCGGCTTGGGCCTCGTCCTCGGACACGTTTTTAAGCAAACAGACTTGGAGCGTCACACTCGCAGCATCGAACAACGCCTGGCCCCGCATCACCCACCCCAAGTAGTCCCAAAGGATAGTCACACAAAAGGGGTCGGACCTCCACGCCGAGTAAGATAGTCCATCACACCCAGTCGCCGAGTCGGTAGCACGAGCAAGCACTTCGCGGAGAAGACGAGGAGCAGGGGGAGGGAGCGCCACATCATCAACCGAAAGTAGATATTGAGCAGCATACTCAATGGCCATGTCGCGGTCCCAGGGCTTCTTGGAGAACGCAGGGCCCCAATAGCTCTTCAGGAGGTCCACCCGCTCGGAGGGGTCGCACGCTGCGCGTCCATGCTCATCGGAAACTGCCGTCAGGCATGCACGACGATTCAACGGGGATCAAAGACGGGCTCGCCTTTCAAGTGCGCGAAGCTGCTTGCGTGCGGTGCGTAACTCTTGGGTATGATCCTTCTGTCTCTGCAACTCAGCGCGCGCGCACTCCGCCGCCTCCCATTGGAGCCGATCAGACCAGGCATAGGAGGACTCAGGACGCAACAACTCGACAGCCGCCCCCTGCACACGGATGAAGTCGGACGCCGCGGGGTGGGATTGAAGAAGCACCCACGCATCCCGACGCCAGACCACCCTAGCTAACGAGCGAGCGAGCTGAAGTAAGGTGGACGGAAGATGGGGTCGACGCCGGAAGTCATTATCACGCGCTTCGCGGGCTGCTTCCTTCACGAGGTACTTATAGTGCTCTAGCCGATATGGGGGCGACATACTATTCCATTCAGCGCGCGCAATCATCGCACGCAGCCGCTCCTGGCAACCCGAGTCCTGGAAGAGATGTTTAGCGAGAGGGCGTTCAGCGGGGGGTCGAGCAGCACGGGGGGCAATCGCGACCGCGACGGTAGCGTGGTCCGAGACGACCGAGTCGGAGACGGACGCAGCAGAGTCGACGGTGGCAGCCTGGAGATGATGCTGGCAGACCAGCCGCCCAGGGAGAGAGAGAAAGAGACGATCAATCATAGCCTCCGAGCTGGACTTTTTCTCGTAGTTCGACGCCATATCACACTCCACCTCAACGAGCTGCGAGAGGGCCTGACGCCAGACCTGGGCCTGGCGCCAGACCTTGCAGCACGACGCACAGCGGCACGAGGCATATGAAGAACAACTGCCTCTTCCGCGGCAAAATTGAAGTCGCCCACTACCAGCGCCAGCCGCTGGGCAGGGGCGCGGAGCGCAGCAGCACGAGCGTCGAGAATCACTCTGACGACCTCTCGCACCTGCGCCCTCTTCAGGTCATGGTTGTGTGCATTAAAGGTGTCCATGCAAATTGGGCCGCATTCGACGGCAACGTGCAATGCCCGACCAGGCACAAGAGCCACCGCATGACTACGCACACGTCCCCCAGCTGCCTGACAAAACTGAGGAAGAAGAACGGCAACACCTCCACGAACCCTATCCGCATCTGAGTCACCACAAAACGACGTGTGCAACGTCGCTGACTCCCCAAGCGGACTGAGAAACCCGCGCAGTTGGAGCTCATATTGCCGAACTTCCTGCAGGCACACAATCGATCGGGTCGGCTGTAGACGCAGTAGGTAGTTGTTCAGCTTGCGGGCACCATGCTTGCCAGCGTGTTGAAGTAATGCTCGGGCATTCCACGTGGCAGCCCTCATGGAGCACAAGGGGGGGGGAAGACGAGGGTGCAGTACATTTGAACAACTTCCATACGTCAAAGACACCACTGCGGCTCTGCCTCAGGTTCGATGAGCGGTGCCAGCAAGGAGACGAGCTCGGCCTTGACCAGCCCGCGTTTCGCCAACTGCTGCGTGTCCCAGTAGAACTCGGCGGGCTTGTCACCAAGGTGCACCTCCACACACATGATGCGATCCCAGCCGGCAGAGAGCGTGGCGCGCTCTCTGTCCGTGAAAAGCCGAAGTTGTTGATGACGCTCAGCGATGAGACCTCGAGCCCTGCGTAGGAGAACTTCACTGCGAACCTGGCGTGGCGACTTGTCAGGGCCCAGGTGGATCCGACAACGTGGGCTGCCAGGGACCTCAACCGTGAACTCCTTCCAGACGCCCTCGGAGCGCAGAGAGCCGATGACCTTCGCCGCCATCCTGGATGCGACGGCCACGAAGCCCTTGAAGCGGATGTGGAACTTCTTCGTCGGCACCGCGCCGACGGGAACAATCTCGTAGAGGTCGTCGGCCAAGCCCAGGGAGGCGATCCACGGCTTGAACTCGGCTTCGACACAGGCCGTGGTGGTCGGCCGCTGGGCCATCGCCACAACCAGCGTGGAGTCCACCTCCCTGTCAAACCCCTGCGACTGGGTGAGTGGTGCACGCGGGCGCTGCTCTGCCAAGTGGAGCTCCCTCTTGAGCGCGTCCATCTGAGTCTGTACCTCCAGCAACTGAGCCTCCACTTTCGCAACGCGCCCATCCGTCTCAGAGATCTGCACCTGCTGGGCATCCAGCTGCGACTGCAGACGTCGGGTGGTGTTGTCGAGCTGAGGGCGCACGATCGAGAGAATCTTCTGGTCCAGGTCAGCTGGTGCCTGTGCAAGCTGTGCGCGGAGCTTATCCAGCAGCTCGAGAGTGGGTTCATTATGGTCTTCAATGTTCTGCTTGATGGTGTCCGTGAGGGGCCTGCAGAGGTCGGTGACCAGCTCACCTCGCATCTTATCCAGCAGATCGGCACAGCACTGCTTGATGTAGTCTTCGGAGGCATCGTCGTCGTCATCGAGGTGCTGTGGCATGTCGTCATCCTCGGCACCATCTGCTGACCGTCCATGCGGGGGAAGGGCACGACGTTTGTGAGCAGCACAACTAGCGATCCGAGCAGGAGCGCAACCTTTGCCTTTGCCACCTTTGAGCTCCTGGGACGGGAAAGTCGGCGCCAGCTCCAGCTGCTCCACCAGAGAGGCGGGGATCTCACCCGCGGGAGCGCCATCAGCCATCACGAGTGACGGCGAGAGGACGGGAAGAAAACAGGGAAGGGCCCAACTCCCGCAGTGAAGGCACAGAAGGACAGCCAGGCACAAAGAGATTGGGCTGGAGAGTGGCCTTGAGCCAAAATGCCTTAAGCCAAAATGGCTACGGGGGAGGAGGAGGAGGAGGAGGAGGAGGAGGAGGAGGAGGAGGAGGAGGAGAAGGAGGAGGAGGAGGAGGAGGAGGAGGAGGGGGAGGAGAGGGGAGGAGGGGGAGGGGGAGGAGGAGGAGGAGGAGGCGGAGGAGGAGGAGGAGGAGGAGGAGGAGGAGGAGGAGGAGGAGGAGGAGGAGCTAGGAGCTGGGAGCTAGGAGCTAGAAACCAGGAGCTAGGAGCTAGGAGGAGGAGGAAGAGGAGGAGGAGCTAGGAGGAGGAGGAGGAGGAGGAGGAGGAGGAGGAGGAGGAGGAGGATGAAGAGGACTCGCCGAGGATTCACTCGGACGGTCGAGGCAGCGCGTGGGCTATCTCCACGGGGTACGCGCGGCGCGGTCGCGCGCGCGGCGCGGGCCCTCTCCTCGCCAGTGCCTGAGGGAATCCACGCAACACCCTCCGCTGCATCACATCTCAACTCTGCGGGCACACAGCTGGAGTCGTCGCTGGCGTCGGCTGCGCAGCCACGGCCGAGGACGTACCAGTGGAAGCAGACATCGCCTGCCAATCAACCAGTGGTCCCATCGGGATCGCACCACGCGGTGCGGGGAAGCTCGGCCGATGCCGAGGATGGGACTCCACCGCTGCGGGCCTCATCGAAGAGCGGTGCAGCACAAGGGGGACGACCGATGCTCGCATCGCCAGCGCCTGGTCAACACGCGCAGACTCCAATTCCGCCTCACGCAACTGCGCCTCAATTCCCGCACAAGATCTGCGTCGGCAAGATCATTACTGCCGGTTGAACTGCATCCGTAACCATCGGGCTCATACTCATCGGTGCGTAAGGCCTCCAGGTCGCCAGAATCCTCCGCAAACTCGTCCGACAGCAATGTAGGCGAGTCGCCACGGCTCGCCTCACGAGCAGCACGGGGAAGGCCAGGAGGAGGGTCATGGCTCTCGCGACGCTCTCCTTGAGCCGCAGGCGCAGGAACAGGCACATCTGCACCGGCAGGAAGAAGCCCATCGGGCACCAGTTGCCCCTTTAAGGGGGACAAGCCCCGCCGTGAAGGTGAAGGGCAAAGGTGAAGGAGTTGAACTGGGCGTGCATGGTACGACGAAGCTGTCGATACCGTTGGCCCGTTGGCGACACCGCTGAGGTTACCGTTGGGGACACCGCTGATGACACCGCTGGTGATGCCGCCGTCGACCTTGCTAATCACCATGCTCTCGGAAACGATGGCCCGCTCACTGGCGCGACCCTTCAACGCGTCGCGAACAGCGCCCGCGGCAACAGCATGCAGACGGGCGTGGGCCCAAACCTCGGGGAGCAGCCGCGCCGCCCCGCTTCCACCGCTGGGGGCTGGGCCCGAGCGTGCCGTCGCCTCCAGCGCTGCTCGGCACCTCCGCCGAGCTGCGCTGTGGGGCCCGGCGCGTGAACCTCCTGCCTCCGTCACGACTCGGGTCGCTACGACGTAGGGCCATTCTTCGCTGCCAGAAGCATCTCCTCGCTCCGAATTCGCGACGCGCCAGCAGAAGGTCAGCCCTCGACGCGGCGCGCTCCCAAGACCGCCTCGCGGAGACTCGGAGGACGCGGAGGAGGTGGAGAAGAAGGAAGATGGCTGCCCCCCCCCCGCCCCCTGATGGAGCCGCTTCGAGGTGCGCTCGGGGAGAGACTCGAGAGGCCTCGAGTCCCAAACAGCTCAGAGGAGGAGGAGGAGGAAGAGGACGAGGAGCAGGAGGAGCGAGGAGCGAGGAGCGAGGAGCAAGGAGCGAGGAGGAGCGAGAAAGAGGAGGGGGGATGTGTTGAATTCGATCCTGGAGCCACCAGCGACAGTGACAGAAGGAGGAGGAGGAGGAGGAGGAGGAGGAGGAGGAGGAGGAGGAGGAGGAGGAGGAGCGAGGAGGAGGAGGAGGAGGAGGAGGAGGAGGAGGAGGAGGAGGAAAGGAGCGACGACCAAGACGATGACGACGACGACGACGACGACGACGACGACCAAGACGACGACGACGACGACCGACGACGACGACGACGACGACGACGACGACCAAGACGACGACGACGACAACGACGACGACTACTAACCGGCAAAGCGGCGACGGAGGAGAGGGGAGGGGGCGGCAAGGCGGCGAGCATCCCTCCTCCGCGTCCTTGTCCTCGTATTCGTCTCTGTCCTCTTTCTTCTCCTCCTCCTCCTCCTCTTCTCCTCCTCCTCCTCATCCCCATCCTCCTCCTCATCCTCCTCCTCGCTCTGCTCCTCCTCCTTGTCCTCCTCCTCTTCTCCTCCTCCTCCTCCTCGCTCTGCTCGTCCTCCTTTTCCTCCTCCTCTTCTCCTCCTCCTCGCTCTGCTCCTCCTCCTCCTCCTCGTCCTCCTCATCCTGCTCCTCCTCCTCCTCCTTTTTGTCCTCCTCCTCCTCCCCCTCCTCCTCCGATTGTCGTTTTCCCAAGATCCTCCTCAGGTGGCCTGCGAAAAGCTGCCCGAACCGCCTGAGCTCGGCGAAGGGCCGGTTCTCGGGGCACCCCATGACCGTGGGGCCGTCCTCCTGTCGAGGCTGGGCGGGGGCAGGCAGGGCACTCCTGGCCATCGCTCGGACGTCCATTCCCAGTGCATTTTTCCAGATCGTGCGTATTTTTTCGCGAGGCGATCAAATATGCTCCTCGATGGGCCTCGCCGAAAAGAAGCACACGTCCGAGCGATGCCAAGACTCTTTTGTCAAAGCGACGTGGGCAGACCCCTCTGGTGCGCCGAAGAGGCGCCCCAGGAGGAGGATGCAGGTGCGCATCGTGGCACGAGGCATGCGCAAGGACGAGGGTGGACCAGGGGATGCGCTGAAGGAGACATAGAGGCCCATGACGCCCTGAGACTTCACCCGGACATGGTAATCATGCCTCCCTCCCCAGGTCCTCGCCGCCCCTCTTGGACCCCCCCAGAGCACGACGTGCTGGAGGAGTTGCCAGGCCGCAGCCGAGTTGCGGTCGGGAGCTGTTGGATAGCGTGTCGCTACGGCGGCCCCAGCGACACGCTATGCCTCGCGAGTGGCTAGCTTGTCGCTCTGCTCCGCGGGGCGGGAGGCTAAGTGGCGACATCCAAAACCTACCCCCACGAGCCATCAATTATCTTGAATCGATGGGAGGCGGGGATAGGGTTAGGAATTCGCCACGTGTTCGGCGAAGTCCGAACCCTTGCCCCCCCGCCCATCGAGTTGCCCGACTCGTGGATCGGCGAGGGTAGGGTTCGGATTCCGCCGCCGAGAGGCTCGAGAAGGCTCGGGACGTGGGCTTCTCGGGGCCGCGAATTGGATAGCGTGTGGGCCGGAACTGGCAGACCGACACGCGATCCAAAAGTTCCCGACCGTGCTGTGGCAATCGCATCGGCGATCGTCAAGCATGACCCAGACTGCGAACATCCGTTCGTTGCTTGCTACCCCTCGGTTTGACCACGCGTTTGCCGTCTGAATGGGCTCGACGTGAATCTGTCGCAGAATCCCACTCAAGGTTTTGCTGCGGCAGAGACTGGCAGACAATCGCACATTGACGACGGAGGGAGAGGAGGTTGTCGGCAAGCCCCAGGTCAGCGTTTAGCGAGCTGCCTGGCAGCTTACATCGAACCTAATTCGAAGACAACACTGGGGCCCCGTACCCCAGCAGTCCAACATAATCAGCTTCATTCGAGCATGTACCCAAATAGCCGCACGTCACGCTGTGGCAAAAGTGGCGCCTTCACCAATGCCAGCTGCAGTCGCCGACCATACATACGGCAACACCCCAGCCCGCTCAGCACGGCAACCACCAAGGAAATGGGATCTAGACGGGAAGGGAAACTTGCCATCGCTCGGACGTCCATTCCCCGTGCACATTTCGGTGTCGTGCGTCCGTCTCTTTCGATGGTGCTCCTCGATGGCCCTCGCCGCGAACAAATGCACACGTCCGAGCGATGCCCTCCCTGGAAAGAGGAATCGAGAAGGGGAGGGGGGGGGAGGGGGGCAGAGGGGCAACCCCCGGGGGGGAAGAGCACTGGGGGGGGAGCCGGGAGGGGAGGGGAGGGGGACGGGAGAAGGAGCGGGGAGCGGAGGAGACGGAGAAGCAACACCTGAGCGAAGAACAGACAGGGGACTTGCGCGAGACGACATAGCGCCCTCATGCGGCGCTTTACGCAGGCCGCCAGCGCGGCACACCAAGTGGAGAAGAGGGCGCTCACGCGCGACCTTACACGGGCGGCTTACGCGCCAGTGTCGGTGAACAGGACATCGTTGTTCTGCGTCGCTCACCTGGGAAAAAGGGGGCGATGCTGGACTATGCATGCTGGACGAGCGCGCCAAAGCCAAACGAATGCAAGACAGCCCAAACTCTGGGCGGCCGTCGGAATCAGCCAAGGCCACCCTCCTTCCGGGGAAAGTCTGGGAGAAGGGGGCGGGGAGCGAGGAGGGGACCCCCTCTCCACGAGTACACAAAATGAATACTGCTCTCCTCTCTCCCCTGATGACGTCAGGGAGATGTCCGGCCTTCCTCCGCGTATGGTTTTTACACATAGGACTCCCGGGAAGTAGGTTTACGCTTGGGTTTTTGTTCAGAATGCTGCTCCCGCTGAAGCGCTGGCCCCATTTCTGCGCCTCTGGTTGTTCCAAATCGTGCTCCCGCTGCAGCGCGGGCGTTTTCGGTCATTCCGAATAGGCCCCGACATCTAGAAAATG